ATAAACAAAGGCTAAGCTCATGCATTACTAAACAGGATACCATCCAAATAATGTCTTAGGGTATCTCAAATTAAAATTGAAGTAAAACAATGCCCGGATAATAAAACACAAGCAACCCAAAATGCAAACTTTTATAGTAGATAAAAATACATGAATTAAAAATCAGTAATTTTCAATTTGCCTTATAATACTTTTCATTTTCTATAGAGCTTAAAAGACAAAATCATAAACAGCTATAAATTTGTATAAATGGGTACATAATATCTAATGCCATTTTGAAAATAATATCATAAAGTGGGTAAGATTGGCTTACAAATAAAGTTTTTCTTTGTGATTAAATTCAGCTTAGAATTAATTTAAGATGGATTATAATTCCACGATATACATAGTCTCATTGGCAAACATCTTAAATGTGTAAAATACATATAAATGAAGATTTAAAACAGAAAAATAATATGTCATTTAAAAATAAATATAGATGAGTCAGTAATGCACAAACAGGGTATAGAAAGTCCTAAGACATAAAATAAGAGCCAAAATGCTAAATAGCTACAATTAAGCTGAAATTATCTTAAATATGAATGAATTAATATGTATATCAAAAGACACAGAGTAAATATCTTAATTAAAAGGTAGGCTTCAACTATATTCTGTCTAGATAAAACAAATTTCAGGCTTAGGAGACATATACCAAAACAGCATAAGAGTGGAAGGATATACATATATATAGTACCAAGAGTAACCAAAACAAAATAGGGATGGCTACATTAATATCTTAGTAAAAAGAATGAATAGAAAACAGTTACAAGAGAAAAGGACAAGTCACATATTGGTGTCCATTCCCCAACCCACAGCACACCTGCCTCCCAAGAGGCCTACTCCAAATCATGACACCACACTATCTGCCTCCCTCCTGGGAGGCTTGCTCCAACCCAGGACACCCAAGCCAGCCAACCAGAGACAACCAGATGGTAAAAGGAAGCTGTAAAAACATAATCAGTAGACCTTGATGCAATATGCCACAGAACCTAGCCCTCCTACTATAGCAAGCCCTGGATATCCTAATACACCTCAAAAGCAGGATTGTGACCTTAAATCCCATCTCATGAAGATAATAGAGGCCTTTAAAGAGGATATAAATAATTCCCTTAAAGAAATACAGGAAAATACAATCAAACAGGTTAAGGAAATGAATACATCGGTCTAACACCTAAAAATTGGAAATAGAAGCAATAAAGGAAACACTAAGAGCGGCAACCCTGTAGATGGAAAACCCAGGAAAGAGAATAGGAACTTAGACACAAGCACCACCAACAGAATACAAGAGATGGAAAATAGAATCTCAGGCAAAGAAGAGACTTAGAAGAAGTTGATACATCAGGCAAAGAAAATGCCAAGTGTAAAAATCTAACGCAGAACATCCAGGAAATTTTGGACCCTATGAAAAAACCAAACCTAAGAATAATAGGAATAGAAGAAGGTAAAGATTCCTAATTCAAAGGGCCAGAAAATATCTCCCACAAAATCATAGAAGAAAACTTCCCTAATCTAAAGAAAGAGGTGACTATAAACATACAAGAAGCTTACACAAAATCAAACAGATTGTACCAGAAAAGAAAACCTTCCTGCCATAAAATAATCAAAAAACAAAATGTATGGAACAAAGAAAGAAGGTTAAAAGTTGCAAGGGGAAAGGTCAAGTAATAAATAAAGGCAACCCTAACAGAATGACACCTGATTTCTCAGCAGAGATTCTAAAAGCCAGAAGATCCTGGAAAGATGTCTTGTAGACTCTAAAAGAACACAGATACCATCCTAGACTACTAAACACAGAAAAACTTTCAATTACCATTGATGGAGAAACCAAAATATTCCATGAAATTCTAAACTTAAACAATATCTTTCTACTAATCCAGCCCTACCAAAGTTACTATAAGGAAGACTCTGATACAAAGAGGCTAACTACACCCTAAAAAAACACAAGAAATTAATCATCTCAAAACAAAACTAAAAGACCACACACACACACACACACACACACACACACACACACATACACACACACACTACCACCTCCAACATCCAAATAACAGGAACTAACAATAATTGGTCATTAATATCTCTCAATATCAATGGATTCAATTCACCAATAAAAAGACACAAGCTAACAAGAAGACATAAAAGCATAAACAGGATCCATCATTCTGCTGTATATGAGAAACACACTTCAGAAACTAAGATAGACACTTACTTCAGAGTAAAGAACGAGCTGGAAAAAGATTTTCCAAGTAAATGAACCCAAGAAGCAATCTGGCATAGAAATTCTAAAATCAAATAAAACAGACTTTCAAACAAAAGTCATCAAACGAGATAAGGAAGGACTCTTCATATTCATCATATTCATATTCATCAAAGAATTAAGATGGCATCTTAATTCTGAATATCTATGCCCCAAATGCAAGGGCACTCACTTCTATAAGAGAAACTTTACTAAAGCTCAAATGACACATTCAACTCCACACAATAATAGTGGACAACTTCAACACCCCACTTTCACCAATGGGCAGGTCATTGAAACAAAAACTAAACAGAGAAACAATGAAACTAACAGATATAATGAACCAAATAGTTTTAGCAGGTATCTAAAGAACCAAAAAACAAAAGAATATACCTTCTGAGTACCTCACAGAACATTCTACAAATTTACCATACAATCATATAATCATATAATCAAGCAAGTCTCAATAGATACAAGAAGATTGAAATAAACCTTGCAGGCAAATGGATGGAGCTAGAAAGTACCATCCTGATTGAGGTAACCCAGACCCAAAAGGATATACGTGGTATGTACTCACTGATAAGTGACTATTGGCCATAAAATACAGAATACTCAAGATACTTCCCACAGACTCAAAGAAGTAAAACAAAAATGAAGTCCCAAGTGAGGAGGCTTGAGTCTCACTTATAAAGGGGAAACAAAATAGTCATGGGAGGCAGAGGGAGAGGGGGAGATAGGTGGGAAAGAGGGAAGGGGCAGGATCAGGTGTGGGAAGAAACAGAGGAGAGGCCCAGAGGGCCAGGAAAATGGTGGAAATATACAGCTGCTAGGGATTAGTAGGTGGGAGGAATCTCTAGGAACTCCCAAAGACCTGGGATGGGGGAGGCTCCCAGGTATCAATGTGGGTGATCTTAGCCGAGATGCGTAATAGTGGGGATATGGAAGTTGAAGAGGCCACCTCCTGTAGCCACACAGGACCCCCAATGTAAGGATAAGGGCACCTACAAAAGGTTCAACCCAAAATTTGATCTGTCTTTCAAAACAAAAGAAAAAAAAACACAGGGAGAAAGATGGAGCAGAGACTGAAGGAATGACCTAACTTGAGACCTACCCCATGGGCAAGCACCAACCTCTGACACTATTAATGATGCTCTGTTATGCTTACAAACAGAAGCCTAGCATAACTGTATTCTGAGAGACTCTACCCAGCAGCTGACTGAAACAGATGCAAATACCCACAGCTAAACCTTTTCTAGAGGTCAGGGACCCTTACAGAAAAGTTGCAGGAAGGACTGATGGCCCTAGAGGGGATAAGAACCCTAGAGTGACCTATAGTGTCACCTATGTGAGCTCTCAGAAACTGAACTATCAACCAAAGAGCATAGACAGAGTGTACTGAAGCCTCTGGCATATATGCAGCAGACGATATCCTTATCTGGCCTCAGTGGGAGAGGAAAACATGCCTAATCCTGTAGAGACTTGTGCCAGGGTGGAGAGATACCTAAGAGTACCCCATTCTCTCAGAGGTGAGGAGAGGTGGTATAGGGAGAGGGACCCTGTAAGGAGGAAACTGGGAGTGGGAGCAGCATTCCAGCTGTTAATAAATAAATATTTTTTAAAAAGAGAGAAAAGAGACATTCTACTGAAATTTTTATACAAAGAAATTAATCATAGTTGATATGACAATTACAAACACATAAGAATCAATCAATAGATTTTTTTTATGTATGCCATGCATTTTTCCATTTTATTAAAAAAATTATGCAATTTATGCTCAGTAGACATCCAAACAGTAGAAATAGGTACACAAAGAAATCCATGTATCCAGGTCCCAGTCCCATGCCCAGAAGTTTTACGTATCATTCTAGAAATGTTCTGTTATTAAGAGAAAAAAAAAAGACCCTAATACATTGTTTCACAACATGCTTTTAAAACAACCATTTCATGGGTGTATTTCTTCATCCATCTGGTCCGACTCATCAGGTCACTCGTTTTTAAAGGGCCGCTGCTAGGTCTGCCTGGCTGCCTATGGGTGGAAACTTGAATTGCTCTCCAGTATCTTACACACGGGGGTAAGCAGTAAGAAAACCTTGCCCCTGTAAATGGAAGTAGAGTCTTACTGATCAGAAATGCTTCGGGCAGAGTCTCAAGATGAACTCAGACTTGCAAGCAGTACAGTGGGGTTTGGGGGTGGACTGGAGCTTGCAGTATTCGCTGCTTTGAGGAACAAGGCCCTTGCTGTGGTAGTTCCAGTCTTCAACTCAGCACCTAACGCTGTCTCATGAGCAACTGCAAGTCACTCCCAGAAGTGAGGATTGCACAGAGAAAGGCCACTGTTACGTCAGGAAACCACTACATACTCAGTAAGTGTCTCCAGTGCAACCCCTCATAGTCATTTAATAGCAGTAGAATCCTTCAAAATAATCCCGAATCTGTCATAATTGCCATAATGCCAATCTGTCCATGATCGTAACTAGACGTTGGCCCCAGAAGTGATTCACATCCTCTGAAGCTTCCAGACTACACTCAGTCCCCAACCCCCAAATCTGAACTACTCTGAAATCTGACATTTGAGCATCATGTTGGATTAGAGCTGCTCACACTGACGTTTACTGTTTAACTCCATCAGCTGAAAGATCCCTTTAAAGGAAGGTGTAAGTTCTGGCGTGCTGACATAAGACTGCGTTTACTCTTTGATTCTATGGTAAAACCGGTGCAACAATCAGAACGTCGGCTTTATTGCTAAAGCCTTCTCTTTCACATCCACATCGTGATGGCGAACCAAAGCTTTCATTCTCTGGGCACATTTTTCTCCATACAACAGGAAAAACAATGACCCTTCAGCAAAAGGAAGCCGATTAGCTAACCGGCCTTCCACTTTGAGGCAATTATTTATATTCTGAAACATCGTAAGAGCCCGAAGAAGAATCTCATTTGCCATTTGGCCATCATACAGGGAAAGGAATGAAGTATCCACTTGGGCACTCAGTAGTTTTCCTGTCATGGCTGGATTCTCAGACAAATTCAAAAGCAGCTTCAAAACCTGAACCTTGGTGCTTCCGTTTCCAACAGACAGCAGATGGAACAGGCCAGTGATGTAGCTGCCGAGCAGGTACTGGTATTCATTGGTGACCATCATGTTTGTCAGCAGCCTCAGTCCAGCCAGCTGCATGGCAGAGTTCAGGGAATCAGCAAGCACATCCTCACAGACTCGACGGACGTAGATCCTTATCTTAGGCTGATTTTCAACATTCACACTCAGGTTACTTAGTGCATTTAAAGCTTTCTCTTTAATACTTTGGTTGAGAGAGTTGATTTTGTTTCCAACAATTGGGATACCACTCAACTCACGAATAATGGCTTGGTTAGTGGAAAAGGCTGCATTATTTCCTAAGGTGACTAAGGCTCTTTCAGTAATTACAGGATTGTTGGTTGACTCCAGCAGGTACAGAAGTTTCTCAAGCTGTTCCTCATTTAAGATATCATGACAGGAGTCATCAGTTATGTCTTCTGCAGACCGCGAAGGACGCGGCTGGCCCCTGCCTCGCCACGGTCCTCGAGTCAGCCGGTAGATACGGTAGCAGGGGCTGCCGCCCAGGACCAGCCCTGATGCCACCCAGCCCACGTCCCGCGTGCCACCCATGCTGCTGCTACCGAAAAGCGGGGAGCCAGAAAGCCAGGACCACATGCAGGTGCAGCTGGGCCAAAACCAGCCTAGAGAAAGGAAATGGGGTGGAGTTCGCAATATATCTTGTAAGCATATAAAGCAACAAAAGAAACAAAGAGAACTCAGACATTTCCATAATAACAGAAAGAAACATCAATATTCCACATTCAGTAATGGTCAAAAAAATCCATTGACAGGACAGCAAGGCTAAGGAATTGGAGTTAAAGGTAAATGTATATAAACTATTGAACAAATGGACAGGATAGACACAAATAGCTAACTCCACCCACAAAACAGCAGAATATTCATGAATTATATCCATAAACACATGAAGAACTCTCACAAGCAACAGTTTGAAACCACTTGAAAACTAATTTGAGAAAGCAAGTTAACCAAACCTAAGATGTATGTAAACCCACTGTTTTGTAAGCTGATTTAAAAAGTAATTTAAAAGAGTTTGAATGGTTGCAGTACAGGAATGGGCAGCGGTATTCTCATCAGACCTGAGCTATCGAATGGAAATATCAGTGCCAAACATGGGTACCCCTCTTCAAGTTATTGATCAAGAAGACCCCAGAATTCCTGCAAAGGAACACAATCTGTTCTCATTTCTCCTGTTGTCCGGCCATAACTAAATGATAAAACCCTGTTGCTGAAGATACCCCTTTGGTTTCATGGCATAGTGAAATCAAGCTGGAATTCACTGAAAAAATTCCTCTGTTCTGGCTACCATAGTGTCAAAAGGTGCTATGCAGGTTACAGGAGGGGAAAAGGTAGGGAAATGGCTGTATCCAGCCTTGGACCTTGTATGCTACAATACTGAGATCTCAGAAAAGATAGGTGCTCTAGAACAATAGTGACATTGCTGTTATAGATATAACCAATCACTCTTCTGGGATGGCTTGGAAGGGAACCACAAGGCCCCATTTTTAGCTAAGGAGCTTTTAGCAATGAATGGCTGATGGAGACAGGGGAATCAGCTAATTCCAGGGGTGTAGAATTAGGTTGCCAAGGTTCAGTGCATTACCCCATACCCATAGGCATCAGATCGATAATAATTGGACTAGGTGAGTTATTTTTTTTATTGTAGATGACATGAAGGTGGGAATGTGTTGAGGCACAGGAGGAAGTTAGAGGGAAAATGTGGGGGTGGGTATGACCAAGATACATTATATACATGTATAAATGAAATTATCAAAGAACAAATATGATATTGATGTGATTAATAGCAACAGTCATTTCTTCAAAAATTTTACTAAACAGCCAATAAGTGTATGAAGAAATGGCCAGCATTACTAATCAGTGTATTGGTGAGGACAAGGAGAATTGGAATCTTAATGCTGCTGGTAAAAATATGAGGTATAGACTGATAAGATTCTTTCTTTAATGGTTAAGCATGTGATTCAGCAATTCTATTCATAGGTATCTCTACTTAAAAGTACATACTCACCAAGCATTAGTTTAGGGGCATGTTCTAATGGTAAAAGAAAAATTGGAAACAACCCAAGGTTTTATCAACTGATAAATAGAAATAAGAATGTGGTACCCACATGCAATTGGAGTTTTACTTGTCAACTGAAAGAAAAATGTCTTCATAGAAGCTTGTCACAAGGACCAGCTATATCCTTTATCCACATAAAATGTCAACAGCAGGCTAATATGGAATGATAAGACATATGCTTGAAGTCCCTTAAAGCTGGAACAATGGGAAACCTGCAGAGTGATGGATAAGTGACATAATGTTCTGTTTGAAGTATTAATAAGAACAGTCCAAGGTAGAGTGAAGTAATGGATGCACATGAGTAAGAAGACATTGAATTGTGTATTTTAAATGGGTAAATTGTAGCTAATAAAATTGTATCTCAATAATACATTGTGAACAGTAGGGATATTTGACATAATTGCTATAGAAATGCAAATCAACATCATCATTAGAAACCCACTGAACATCTATTTTGACAACCAATGTATGTGTCTTATACCTGATATTATCAAGAGAAGGAAAAGAAATAAGGCATTGCAACATCCATACAGTGCTGGGGAGACTCAATCACCACATCAGCTTTAATTCTTGTGATTTATCCTGTGGTGTGGGGGTCTCTGTCCCCGAAGTCTGAAGTTTCTGAAGAAGAGGTGTCACCGTTAATATCTCTAGACCCAGGCTCCATGTGTATTGGTGAGTTGTAGCTAACGCATGACTGGAAGTGCGTGGAACTAGAACCATGGTCTGACCTATGAAAACCAAACCTGGCTTCTGCGCAGCTCCTGATACTTGCTCAAAGAAGCCACATAGGATATAAATCTAGCTGAAATGAGACCATGAACCTGCAGCAGCATCACATGTGAGCAAGACTGGTCAAATTCAAGGCTGTGTGCAAAGTCTGGGACACAGAATTATGAACACAAGTCTCAGCTTTGGTGCTTCCGTAAGCCACGTAAACCCATTATTAGTAGCATACAGTTGCACCTCATAAATATGACATGGACTTAAGTAGTTTTGGTCTGTATATGGTTATGATAAACCCAGATAAGCAAGGTCTAGTATACTAATTGTGTACAGTGAGAAATTTCTGATAAGTAAGTCATGTTTTTCAGAAAAGATAATTTTGGCCCTTTACACGCCAGGATATAAACCAACTCTGATGTAAATTTTCTCAGAGGTGATCAGACCACCTATTTCTGCCCCATGATGAGGCATTTGCTATTCTTCCTTTAAAACAAATGATGTTAAATAAGGTTGGTAGCCTTTGCCTTAAAGAGAAATGCAAAAGGCTACACTACTTACAGTGGCGAGGAGAGGGTCCTACAGGTCTCTCATTCTGAGGCTCTACTTTGTTGTCTGGAGTGATATTAGACATTTTGTTGGTATCTTGCAGAAGCATCAAAAACACCTTTGGGGAATTAAGATAAAGGAAATAAATATATTTTACATCTCTACAAATTACACTTACTTGTACTTCTTTTGTCCCAATCACCCATTAGGTAATAACAACACATACCAAATACATCCTATGCTTCATTTGTCATTCATTTAATTAGTGTAACTCTAAGACAACATGGAATTCTATAATATAATTGATAGCCTCCACCACAAAGGATGTAAATCTAGCTGAAATGAGACCAAGAACCTGCAGCAGCTACACGTATGAGCAAGACTGGTCAAATTCACCAAGTATACTGGGTGGGAAAAGGACAGGAAATAGCACCTATGCTCAAGTCAAGTCAACTTGAGTTTGCAACTCACTGTGCCAGCATCTTAGAAATCTCAAAACAAAAACAAACAAAAAAAACAAAAAAATAAATAAATGAATAAATAAATACCACAAAATACCCTCAGGAGTCATGTATTTAAATAATATGGTTTATTTAGGGTGGCTGGAAACGCATCAGTAAAAACCACCCACTGAATATATGTCCCCCAGGACTTCTGATATACCATGTCACTAAGGCAATTAAGTTGTGACTTATTGGTGCCTCTATTTAGTTAGAGCTGGAAGAAGACCAAGATTGATGTGTATAAACCCTGAGATGAGTCTGAAATCAACAAAAATATGGTGAAAGGAAAATGAGTATGAGGCAAGACAGCAGGATGTGTGGTGTGCTAGGAACAATGAAGCCTTTGCTACATTTGAAAACCCGAGGGACACTTAGAAATGGCTGACCTAAGGTCCTCCAATGTACACCAAGGAGCAGTCATCTACGAGGGGTGCTTTAGCTGCACCTGAGAAGTCAAAGATACTCAGTCATGTAGCAGTGTGGCTCTATGAAGAAGGCACAGGCTCTCTCACTGACAGTGCTGGGCCAACTCTGTGACCACAGACACAGGGCTCACCACACAGGGCTATGAGAATGTCTCATCTGTAAAGCCAGTGATGACCACATCTGTCCCATGATTGGCAGATTCTGGCTCAAGAGGCTTGGAGCATACCTTGGATGCATGAACTATCTGAACTATCATCATGTCTGTAGACAAAATTCACTGCTGAGAGAAGCACAATATGCTGTCCATGTAGCCATCATATACATATTCTTCCATCCCACCCATCTCTGCCCATATCTACCACAAAAACATCCACAGAGATCCAGGTCCCTCTGGCCCTGGCCACACTTCTAGGGTCTTAGTCTCACTGTCTGTCCAACAACTAGCTCATCCTCAGCATGTCCACTCTCTTCCTGAACTTCTGACTTAGAATAAAAAGCATCATGAGTCTGAGTCCTCTAAAAAAGCCAAGAGTCATGAATATGTCAGCTCGATCCTGGTCTGACCCTTTCAGAGGAAGACACATGGAGAGGGCCCCAGAGACTGAAGCAGAGAGCGAGCAAGCCCACAGGGAGAGGTTTATACTCTCTCTTCATGTGGTTAATTAGTGGGAGAGAATCCTACTGAGTAAAAGCTGTATCTTCAACACTGTTCAAGGTCAGAAGGTTTTGTTAGATCTTAAGTTGTTCTCTCCATTGAATGATAACAAATTCTACTGATTCGCAGCAAGATCTCCAGGAAAAGCTGCAACACTAATCCCACTACAAATAAAAACAGTGTTGAAAATAACTTAGAATAACATAGCACATACATGCCAGTCATACATCCCTGGATACATTAGTTCATCACTGTGTGACTTAATGATAATAATAAGACACATGTTACAGGACCACTGAAAGTAATAAATGTATTTATAAGAGAGACTGATGGGGACCATGCCTGGCATGTAACATGCTCATGCTGTCTCATCCTGATTTGCCGAGGACAACCACACATGATAGGCTTCATTATGTAATTCTCGAATCAATCTAATAAGATAAGTACTGCTATCCCCACTGTAGATGAAGGCTTGGAGGATTAGCACACTAATCATTCACTGAGCACATATACATAGGATGAAATTAGAAACAAGAGTGTGAGCTGAGAATTATTCACTGAATGAGAACTAGTCTATGAGTTTTATTTTGAAAGAAAATGTTATTTGATGGTTGGCCATTTGTAACTATATCATGAAGCATATTTTTATTTCAATAGATGCATTTTACAACAGTCTTCATGCCTTCTTTTTTAAACTCCCATCTCTTATACACAGCCCACACCACACACACACACATACACACACACACACACCCCTATGCAGATGGATGGACATGTATGTGACTAAGACTTTGAATATATACATGTTGTTTGTATGTTTGTACATATTGGAAAAAGAAGCAGAATAAGACATGGGTTTTCCTGAAACCATCTCAAAGGGCAGTTGGATGTGTTATCAGAACAATTAGCACGTAGGCAGCAGTATCTGGGTGCTGTGTGCTCAGTGTTTCTCCAGCTCAGGAGTGTATGAGGCAAACAACAAATCCAAGATCATAAGGAAGAGAGGAATGCCATCTAGTGTTTACTCTCCTTAGCTGCAGGCACACTGACCAGGGATTTCAGGGACTAAAATGTCAAAGGAGCCCAAGGGACAGGATAAAAGGGTCACATTTCTCAAAAACAACTTGAAACTGAATCCTGTAGGCAAAGGTCTGGGCTTCTGGTGCGGACGTGCCTTTGCAGTTTGGATCTGTAAACCCTGTGCTAAATAGAAGCAGTCAGTCTGCTATTGCAAGCCTCCCATTTGGAACAATCTCATGGAACCCAAGCATTTAAAACAGGAGAAAATATATTAAAAGGATTCTAACATTCTACTAGGTTCTGGAACTATAAGTTGCCATTTTCAGTTCAAAGTATTCCTTATCATTTGACATAGGTTTTCCACAAAAGATAATCAACTTTGCTTCATCTCTCCATTTATGAAGAGATGTAAACTACTGTAAAAATTCTCATTATAGGTAAAATTGTGAAAGGCCTTCTGCTACAAACACCCCTACAGAATGGATATAAATGAGATATGAGCCCATGCATATGATATCATCTGATAGAGCTGACCATCTAATATGTAAGACACAATTTCTAGTCTATGAAGCATCTTGTATTTGTACACTTTACATAGAAGAGCCTCATATCTGTATACCTTGTCTTGTTCTTTGGATGTTTTCTCTGTCACTTATAGATTAAAAGGGGCCAGAGGACAAATGAGACAAATATTACACATGACTTTCTGTCTTTATACAAAAGGGTTGGATAATCATCTCTAATCTCATTGCATCTCACAAAGATTACATCAGGCATCTTAAAATCTTCACAACTGCTCACACTGCTCCTATATTTATGCAAACAAAATGAATAGATATGAAATATGCCATGTTGAGGTTAAATCCCAAAGATACTAACAAGAAAAAAATGAACAGAAAGCAATATAGCCTTAAATGCAATAGCTAGGGATTTTTCTGTCCTTTTTTCTTTTATTTTTTGAGGAAAATAATTCAACAGTTTGGACATCCTTCATTTGGGAACTTATGTCTCCTTAATTAGGAGAAGCTTCAGGGTGTATCCTTACTACCATAGTCTGGTGTCATCTGTATACTGATAGTGCTATCAATCCCTTGGGCTGGAGGGCAGTGGTTCATCGGCTGCACTCTCTGTTTAAAGGGTACTGGCAAATAGTGTCCGACCCCAGGCACAATCCACTCTCAAAGTGTCACTGTGATGGACTATACCCAGATATGGTCAGCACTCCCTGCCTTTGGCAGGTGCTAGAGAAACTGATGAGACTGACCTGCCTTCTAATGACAACAGAGTTGGGCTGACTGATGACAGTGGCAAAGATAGAATTGCCAAGCTTTAACTAAATTACAGCATGGCCTGGATTTTGTTTCAATGTCTCCTAAATGATATAGTTTTGCGTCTCTTTTTGTTTTCTATAAGCAAAAGATGACATCGTATAAAGATCTCAGATACATAGACACAGGAGTTACTAAGAATTTCTTCCAAATGCAGGGCTCTGGTCAAAACACCTCTATTGTACCACCCAGAGAGTTGTACCCAACAGTACTCTATCATCATACAGAAGCACCACTGCTCTGAGATGACTGCCTTGTCGTATCAAGCACAGCTTGGAAACCAAGGATGACACATCCATTACCTCATGATTTTGTAAGACATAGTACAAAATGAGATTCCTGAGCCCCAGTCCAGGAAGAACATACTCCCTTGCCTCCATAGCTTGGACTGTAGCTCCATGCACCATTTTCTGCAGCTGCTGTATGACGATATTTGTGTTTCCCATCTGAGCATTCTGTAACCATCTATTACAGACCTATCCTCTTGTTTTAGCTCTATCCAGAAAATAGAGGTGCTTCTCTTCATCCTAAGTTCCACAAAGTGACATTTACAGGGTCCAGAAATTAGGATGTGACTATTTGAGAGGACTCATTACTCATCTTATCATGCCATCAGAACATGTTTGAAGCAAAACTGTTGACTGGCTATATGCTCAGATACCCTGAAGACAGTGAAAGACAATGGACAGGGTAGAAGATGCCATCATGCATCACACTAAAACTCTGATTCTTGATGGTGGAAAATGTGATGCCCTCCCTGGCTCGTCTGTACAGGGCAGGATGGGTGTGATAAATTAGATGAGGTATAAAAAATTAACTATAAGTCAGACTCAGGGTCTCCAGGACCCCCAAATTGCTCTTTATAAAGCCAAAGTGTCAAGTATGAGCTCCAGGGCTCCAACCTGATAGACTAAAACCACAATGTTTAGATCACAGGCAGCAACCAGAAGTGTTTGTCCTTGGGAGTTTTAAATTAAGAAGACTTAAGTACAAACTGAAGCCTCCTTGGAATAGTAACTAGGTTGTATTTTGATGAAAATAAACAAAGGAAGATGAAGAAGGCGAGAGAAGAAAGCAGAAAGGAGGAAAGGATGAAAGGAGGAGGGGAAAAGAGGAAGGGAGACAGAGATAGAGGAAGAGAACACATTCCCAAGAAATCTAAAACCTCTGCCTTCTCTGCCTTCCT